CCACGGCTCCCATTTCCCTGGGACCCGGGTCTTTGCCATGGAAAGTCCTTCTGGATGAGGAAGGGGGGAAAGTCTAGATTTCCTGGGGTCAAGACGTGGCTCTAGGTTTGCAAGGGCTGTTGGCTAGGATGGCAAAATGCCCGCCGTTCCTCGGGAGGTGCACCCAGCCGCTCCGCGTGCCGGCTTCTGTGTCCCGCTCGGACACCCACTCGACCAGCCAGATCCAGAGCTGCGCGACGGATCTCGAAAGCCATCGGGTGTTCTTTCCAGGGACCTTCGTTCTTTGAGGTTTCTCGCCTCCTTCCCCTTTTCAGTCAGGGACAGCCAGAAGGAAACGCCTGTTGCCGCGAAAAGGTCTCGTTTTCTTTTTTTGCTTTCAAGACTCCTCAGCCTGCCTGTCACACAGCCCAATGGCGCATGTGGGGAAAAAGTTGATCACGCATGGCCATGTATGCCCCCCCCCCAAAGTCAGACTTTCCGGTCCTCAGAAGGACCCAAGAGGGCCGAGCGCTCCCTTGGGGAAGTGGAAGCCCCCCATTTTTGCCACAAGACGTCAGGGTCGGGCTGTGGGTACACGGCCACTTCCTTCCAAATGCACCGTCTCTCATGAAACATTAACCGCACATCTTTTCAGAAGGAAAGGAGACTTTCTTAAAAAGCCCTTCCCCTTCTCCCCAGTGCACTTGGGGTCACTGGCCTGGCTAGTCAGACTCACGTGCCACGCTCCGTCCTAAGAAGGCGGATTGACAAGCCCAGGTTTGCCTCAGAGCAACAACAGGACTCTGTCCATCTGCTGGAACCCAGATCACGCCCCCCCCCCCAGCATGAAGGGGAAGAGCTGTCAGTCACGCAAGGCAGAGCAACACTTGGAAGAGCCCCGGGTCCAGTTCTGAGGTGCTTCCAGGGAGGGGGGGGAGAGAAGGCTCCTGGCTAAAACCCAGACCATGCGGTCGAGCACCCTGGCCGAGAGGACTGGAGAGCCAGGCTTGACCTAAGGCCTGCTTCCTCTGTTGTGCCGTGGACACCCAGGGATGGGCTCACGATGGGAGCTGTAGTTCTATCGGTCACCATCCGGCAGAGCGCTGTTTCCTGCAAGCAACTGAGGGCTGGGCAGGAGATGAGTGGCTGGCAGGTGTGATTCCTCCCAGGAAAGCAAGCCATCAACAGAACCAGAGAAGAGGAGGGCTGGTGCCCTCGTTCTGTTGAGAAGGAAGGAACGCTCTTGAGGCTATGGAAAGTGTGACCCTGCCTTGCCAGCTGCTGGGAGAAACTGGGCTGCCAAGAAAACAGGAGAAGAAGGGAAGGAAGTCTCCTTGGTGGGCTGGTAGCAAGCTGGGTAGAGTCATGAAATGGCCAGCCATGGTAACTGGTTTGGACAAAAGCTGTCACAGGGCCATCCCCCCACCCCAACACAGATGCTGATGATGAGGAAGGAGCCATCAGCCGAACTTCTCTTTTGATGACCAGGCTGGTTGGTTGGTTGGTTGGTTGGTTGGTTGGTTGGTTGGTTGGTTGGCTGGATGGCTGGCTGGATGGCTGGGCTGGCTGGCTGGCTGGCTGGCTGGCTGGCTGGCTGGCTGAGCTTCTATACCACCCATCGGGCAACCAAGACCACTCTGGGCAGTTCACAGCATGATAAAATGAGCAACACTTTGAAAAGCCTTAAACATCATAATTATACAAAAAACAAAATTAAACATACCCGTCCAGATGCACAAGAAGACAACAGCAGAATAATTAAAACTAATATAAAAAGGCAAGATGGTGGGACGGATGATAGAAGCACTGATAATATCTGCAAAAAATGGGCATTCTAAGTCACTTTATTACTTAATTTCCTATATCATCCTTCACCCACACATGTGGTTTCTAAGGCATTGTACTAAGATGAAATAAAACAGTAGTGAAGCATAGAAAACCAGTCATCATGAAACAACACTTCATCAATTGGCTAAAACATGTATTAAAAGCCAGTTAGACTGCTTGAGCAAACGGCAATGTTTCAGCTTGGCGCCCAAGAGAAAACAGGGTTGGTGGCTCCAGGTGATGACCATCTCTCCTCCAGAGACATTCTGGAGGTTACAGGTCATCACGGAGAAGTCGGGTGACCCCCTGGAACCTGCCTCTGTTTCTTGAATGTTTTCAGTGTCTCTGATGGAAATCGCTAGTGGTTCTGAAAAAAGGAGCAGAAGATACTGATAAGAAACAAGGGGTCCAAACTTTCCCATGTACAGTGGTGCCCCGCATAGCAAGGTTAATCCGTTCCGGATTAACCGTCGCTATGGGGAAACATCGCTTTAAGGAAAGTAAAAACCCATTGGAACGCATTAAACTTCATTTAATGCGTTCCAATGGGGCCCAAACTCACCATTCAGCGAAGTTTCTCCATAGCGCCGCCATTTTCGCGCCCTCGGTGAGCGAAGGCAGGACACGAAAATGCTGTGCGCGGCTAT